TCTAATGAACACAGTTTACAATCTTGGAATTGTGAATGACTAAGATTCAAAGCAATCTTAGAAATTATCTAATCTGACCCTTTCATTTTAGCAAATGAGAAAAATGAGGCCTAGAGTAATCAATTGCTTTGTTCAAGGTCACAAAGCAATTTATGAGTGCTTTGTTCAAGGTCTCCTGGCTTCCAGGCCAGAGTGCATTCCATTGTGCCATATTGTCTCTGTTCTATCAAAGAAATCCTCAGATGGCAATGAATCAAATTCTAGAGAAGGAGAATATAAAAAATCATAATGAATTATTCTTTACCTGTAAAGAGAGCATATCCATTTTTCATAACTGAAAAGGGACATTACAATATAATCTTTTTAAGTCTTAAATTTTTAAGTGAATAGAACAACTATCACAGAATAGATACTGTTTTTATGGCTAAATGTCCCCAATATCCTTACCTTGAATTTCATTACATATTTACTGATACCTGATGGAGTTCTAAACTCCTGTAACATCCCAATTATCTGATCAATTATTACCAATAGAATTACAGAAGTCTAGAGCTGGACAAAACCTTAGAAATTGCCTAGGTTTTTCATTTTGTAGACAAGTAATTGAAGAACCAATACTACAATAACTTGATTAAAAGTCACAAAGCAGTAGCAGAACCTTGTCAAAAATTCAGGCTCTTGACTCCCAAGCCTAGGACCCTGTCCATTTCACCACCCTATGTTATGTTAATTCAACTCAACCTAAGCAAGTAACCAATGGAATATGTAAATGCTAGGTAATGGCTATAAAAACTCTGGAAAATTAAATACATTAGAACTTCTGCTCATGAAAGTATCACTAACCAAAGTAATAATAATAATAGAACACCACAAGATAGCTGGCTAAAATATGCTTCTACTTTTAAAGTATTTTCGTTTTCATATGCATTGACAGTTATTTTTAAAATAGTTGAGGATCATCTTTTAATACAAACTTTTATGAAAAATAACTTCTTGCCTATTTCAGCATTCTTTTGGTAGCAGTACAGATTGATATAGAAAACATAAGAGGTGGGAGAACAAAATACAATTCCAGGAGATCAGGAATGATTTAAAACTCATAAGCAGAAATCTTTGGCAGTTTGCATTCTAACTGCATGCATCATATGACAATTTTATTTTCAGTATTCTGGATAACACTTTAGGACTGGATTTCAATAAACAATTGTTCAGAGAGGTTTAGTTCATCTTTGCAATTTATTATTGTAGCTACGCAAAAGATGAAAGATTATGAGATAAAACACATTCATCAATATAAAGTGTTTGGTATCAAATTACATGAAATATTAATTTGAAAACCACTTGTCACTTCTATTGATAAATACAAAAGATAAATTCCAAGGCCATTCATAAAGTTCTATATGCCATTTAGGCATTTATATGGTCCCCCCTCAGCCACCCCCAAATTAATTTAGAACAAAAGTCGAAAGTTGTTTACAAATTTCCTTTCATAATGACTGAATCTGATTCAAATGAACAACAAGAAAGAGATTTCTAAGGCAGTCAAACCATATCTAGTTTCCAAAAACACATTTGTTTTGAATTAAGGGTGTACTTTATTTAATGAAGTTATCTAATTTAGGTAAAGCTAAAGAAAATTAAGATAGGACATTTAAAAAATTGGAATCAGATTAAATTTAAATATTTTGAAGAAAATCTTTATAATAGACTACAGGTATACATTTTATTAAACTGCAGAGGTATGGAAATGAATGTTTTCTATAATTAAGTGAATTTTTCTCTAAAATATTTCTTGAAAAAAACATTCCTAACAGTTACTGTCTAATTTAACTAAACTTTTATAAGCAAAGCAAAGTTCAAGCATATCACTCTTCTCTAGTAATAATAACTTTATGTTAGTTATGAACCTCACAAAGAGTAATTCTAATGTGTAGATCATTGTGAGAATTAATGGTGAAAAAACTGTAACCTGTCAGATATATACTTTTCCTTTCCTGAAGACCGTTGTAAACTTTAACTAAAAATAAAATTATTTGAAAATAGTTTAGAAATAACCAATAAAACTGAAAATGTTGAGTATGTTAAGGTTTATAGATAACCTTTTTTTCAAAGTATGTATATTTGGGGAAAAACAGACATCAGTCATATCTCTCCCCATAAAAACAGGAATGCTTAACCTATCAGCCTGTTGCATTTGAGACATTAAAATGAAAAATGACATCTACGCCCATTAATATCTTCAATGTATAAACAGCACAGCGTGACACATTCTTGAGAGCTGAAGGCTACAAAATCTCTCGGAAACATAAATAACAAAGCACTCAGAAGCATATTTGATGTTGATATTCATCTCTGAGAAAAACACTGTTGCCTAGGCTTCTTATGAAAATAGATGCAGCCCAAATGGATCTCCTGTAATTGGTTTCAGATAGCGAGGTCAGAAGAAATATGATACAAGAAACGATTATGTGGAACAGGCGAAACAAGAATGTTTACACAGGCACTCCCTAGTTATACTGACAAGGGGTATATACTTTGCAGATAACCAGAACCAAAAAAAAATTTGCCAGCAGGATATCCAGATTTTAGCTCCTCATATTCATATATTTTAACCTTTAACATATTATGTCTTCAACATGTTACTTTGAATACTGAACATAAAATAAGTTTTGAAACATGGTTTCATTTTCTAATTATTTTCCCAGGTGTGGTTGATAAAAAATGTATTCAGATCCTTCTATAAAGAATATGAATTCCTATTCTGTTTGGCCTTTATTCATATTATGCTCCCACTAAAGAAAATGTACTGATAAATGTAATCTGAAGTCTCATAATGTTATTTAATGAAGAAAATTAATCATCTAATTGTCATAACCTATTTTCAAATAGCAATCTATCAGAGTGAAATTATGCATCTGTAGTTATTGACCCCTAATTTTTTCATGCCTGATACATAATTAGACTACATTTGTTGAAAAAAGGCTAATTATTAGAAAATATT